TCTCCTGCTTTCGACACTCAAATCTTATTCTTCTTTCTGGGTTTATGCCTTCAATTTGGTGAAAAATAGTTCATCTTCTAGTAACTATCTAAGAAATGGTACATGAGGTACCACTTCTTCTCTTTAAGACTCCCTCCTATTTGACCAATACTTTGGTTGAATACAAAATGCTGTATTTGTGGGACGCCTGGGTGGCTCAGTGGTTGAGCATTTGCCTTCGGCTCAGGGCATGATCCCGCGGTCCCGGGATCCAGTCCCACATCAGGCTCTCTGCAAGGAGCCTGCTTCTCCCTCTGCCTCTATCTTTGCCTGTCTCTCTCTGTGTCTCTCATGAATAAATAAATAAAATCTTTAAAAAAATGCTGTATTTGTAATAATTTCCCTTCAAAACTTAACGTCTTTGTTTCAATGCCTTCCAGTTCCGTTGCTGAAAAGTCTGAAGTCTTTATACTCTTGATCCTTTGTATGTGACCTGTATTTTCCAATAACAGTAAGAAGGCCAGAATTGTTAGAACAAAGTGAGCAAAGTGGAAAAGTGTGGTGGTGGGGGGGAACAGATCATGTAGAGCTACATAAAGTTTGTTTTTTCACTCTAAGTGTTATGCAGAGCTACTGTAGGATACTGAGAGAAGGAGGACTATTATCTGATTTATCAAAAATAGATCAGTTCAGCTGCTATAGTGAGAACTAAACTTGAAGAAAGTGGGGAATGACAAGAAGGGTAGAAGCAAGGAGTGTCATAAGGAGGCTAATTTCAATAACCAGGCAAGAGCTGATGGTAGACCAGATCAGGATGTTGCACCAGAAGTATGAGAAATGTCTGGATTCTGAATATATTTTTAAGGTTGAGCCAAAAGGATGTTTCTGCATTAGCTATGAGGTTGAGGGATTAAAAACTGATATAAAAGGTATTGCCTAGGGATCCCTGGGTGGCGCAGCGGTTTGGCGCCTGCCTTTGGCCCGGGGCGCGATCCTGGAGACCCGGGATCGAATCCCATATCGGGCTCCCGGTGCATGGAGCCTGCTTCTTCCTCTGCCTCTCTCTCTCTCTCTGACTATCATAAATAAATAAATTTAAAAAAAAAAAAAAAAAGGTATTGCCTAGGGACAGCCCCGGTAGCCCAGCGGTTTAGCGCCACCTTCGGCCCAGGGTGTGATCCTGAAGACCTAGGATCGAGTCCCACATTGGGCTCCCTGTGTGAAGCCTGCTTCTCCTTCTGCCTGTGTCTCTGCCTCTCTCTCTCACTCTCTCTCTCACTCTCTCTCTGTCTCTCTCTCAATCTGTCTCTAATGAATAAGTAAATAAAATCCTTTCTTTAAAAAAAAAGGTATTGCTTAAGCAATCAGAATAATGGAGTGAATAGAGAAGACACAAAGTTTAAGCTTGGGGGCAAGAAAAAAATTTGGAAATACACATATCAGATATAAGATATCTACTACTTATCTAAATGGAGATAGTGCATCAACACTTGGACATATAAAACTCTGGAATTCAGGAACAAGCAGCACCTTGGCTGCTTTCATTCTATGGTATGACTTTGGCTCTTTCTGTTTTGGCACTTACCCTCCCTTTGATCCTATTCATTTTCCATGCCTGGTTCAGTGTGAGCCACATAATAACCTTTTAATATGTCTTTTTCTGCTTAATGCAGCCAGAACATCTATAACCTATAATAAAGAACCTTAACTGATACTGTTACTACATTAGGAACAGAAGTTAGTTTTAAGTTGTAAATAAAAAGAACTTTATTAAAATACAAAGGAAATAATGGTAAAATCTTAACTGCTCCTAAGGTGAATATAAGCCATAGCAAAACCCATCTATTTCCACAGGGTAGGCAAAACTAAACTGTAGCCCAGCATACAACTAATGAGTTAACCATAAATAATCATAAAATCCTCAGGTTTCCTCAGGTTTTTACTTACTATTAGCACTTTAAGTCCTCAGGAATTGGTAATATTCTAACCTATAAGAAAATCCAGTTTATATGAAGTAAAAACAAAACAAAAATTCCAAATTAGTACTTAGAATTAATGAGATGCTACTCTATTGCAAGGATGAATTAAATGTCCATGTTTAGAAAGATGAGAAAAAAATCTCTGCTCTATCGTCATACTGTAATATATTATTATTGCATTCATGAGTTTCCTGAACATGCAAACATCTAAATCCTAGTGGTTATAACTAATACAGAAAAATTATACCTTCAGATAAACTGCTTGTAAAATATAGGCTAAGGAGTTAGACTTCCACAGAGTAATAAGATAAAGGTACTAAAAAAAAGTATAAGAGTACAAGATAATGAATGCATGAGAAGTAGAAAAGCCTAGTGTATTATAAAAGGGTGCTGACCATATTTAAACAAAAAAAAATAGTTTTTGTTAAGTAACCTTTTTCTGATTATAAGATATCACAGAAAATACAGAAAACTGTAAAAAAAAAAGTCTCACCTTTTTATAACATTTTGACATATTTTCTTCAATCTTTTCTTCCTAGGCACACATATATATGGTATGTGTGGGTACAGAAAAGCAAGACCAAACTAAATGCCATTTCTATATCTTGCTTTTATTCATTCTGTATATGAATTTCCCTTAGGTTATTATATATTCTTTAAAGACATCATTATTTTAAACATCTGTATAAGATTCCAGCATATGAACATACCACGATATAAACAGTGCCCTACTGGTATGCAATTAGGTTTGTTTTTAACTATTCACACTAGAAATAATGCTATAATAAAGACTATTATACAACACCAAATTTAGAGAAGTTAGACCTTATTTTTTAATTTCTGAAGTTAGAGATCTTATTTCAAAAGATACTCTCTTTCAGAAATGTTTTTAGAAAGCACTTAATATCTACTAAGTAGATATGGCTCCAAAATGCTGCTTGATTTGGAGTTTAAAGAAAAGGAAAAAAATTATAAAGCATAATTCAAATCAAGCAAATGTCTATCAAGCCTAATCAGCTACTTTCCTTATTGAATCAAATGAGTTCCTCCTCTCTCCTGGCATCTTCCATACTATCAGCATGTTATACATCAGTGGATCACCTATCCAGGATCACCCATCAGTGATTTACATCGTGTGAAAATATCCAGCGCAGGCTAAAAAGTGTACAGTTTTAAAGGTTTGTAAAATTTTCATATAAAATAGATTTTACACTAGAATTGCTATAAACAACGTTCCGTCAGGCATGAATGTACCTATTTAAAACAAAACAAAACAAAAGCTAAATATGGTTTCCTGACATTCTACTAAAGAGAACAGAAATGTACAGGAAATCCTAAAAAGTAGAGCTTAGTTTTAGCCATCTCTAAAAAACAAGCAGCAGAGCTAAGAGAAAAAAGCATGGTAGTATGTTTTTTTTTGTTTTTTTTTTTTTAAATTTTATTTATTTATTTATTTATTTATTTATTTATTTATTTATTTATTTATTTATTTATTTATTTACGATAGTCATACAGAGAGAGAGAGAGGCAGAGACACAGGCAGAGGGAGAAGCAGGCTCCATGCACCGGGAGCCTGACGTGGGATTCGATCCCGGGTCTCCAGGATTGCGCCCTGGGCCAAAGGCAGGCGCCAAACCGCTGCGCCACCCAGGGATCCCAAGCATGGTAGTATGTTAAAAATAAAAATACTATACTAAGAAAAAAAGAGGTAGTAATTCTTATCAAAAACTGATCTCCTGGGAAAATTTACCAGTTAAATTACAAGTCTATTTTTTGTTCCTAGTATCACAGTAATTTGAAAAAAAAATTTGCCTCATGTTAAATTTGGACATAAAATTTTATATTTAATGTCACAAATAGGAGAAAATACTTTAAATATTTTCTCTTCAGACTCATCTATTTTTATATCGTTATCACAGATATGAAATTGCCATTTTATTTCTATAGCCACAAGTCTAATTTAATTTATAAGTTCTTATTTTACTGATTTCCCTCTAAAACATTCTTTAGGATCATTAAGTCCTAACATATGCTGAGTCTAAGAGGAAAATCATTCACAGAAAACACACTTCTGATCACTATATACAGACACTGACTCAGCAAAAAACCTACTTATTAACCACCAATTCACATATTTGAGCAAATATTTATTCCTGCCTTTATTAACTGGTCTATGATAATACACCTGTGTATAATATTCTAGAACAAAAAAATGTTATGTCTAACATAATATTTTTTTTAAAAAAATTTTATTTATTTATGATAGTCACACAGAGAGAGAGAGAGGCAGTGACACAGGCAAAGGGAGAAGCAGGCTCCATGCACCAGGAGCCTGACGTGGGATTTGATCCCGGGTCTCCAGGATCCCGCCCTGGGCCAAAGGCAGGCGCTAAACCGCTGCGCCACCCAGGGATCCCAATAATATACTTTTTTAATAATCAAATTTCTTCTTTTCCACATAAAAAGTATAAAGTATAATATATAAAATGTCCTGTATTTAAGATTCTAGAGACTTAGGAGAGTCTTAAAAACCTTATAAATTCAAATCTCACATCAATTCAATGAGACTATCTAAAACCTGTTGTTCAGAAAACTGCCTCTGTCAAATAATTGATTTGGATTTGGAAATGCTTTATATAGAGATTTTTATTGTCATGTCATTTGTTGCAGTAGGATCTAAACCATGTCACAACAGGAACTGTGTCTTCATAGCAATTTATCAGGTAAATAAGCTCCATACAGCTAAACACTATATTCAATAATACAAGACAGAAAAGGCTATACACGTGTTACTTACCTATGATGGTGATATCACCAACATAAATATACCATAAATAAAGACAGCAATCTGTTTTTATCTCTAATAAAAGAATTGCCAGCAAACTTTGACCATTATGGCTTCAACCATTGTGGAATTTCAATTATGAAATAATTTTAGTGACAATCAGATGAAAATCCTCCAATAACCAACATTCGCACAGAAATAGGACAGAAAGGGGTACAGTTTAATTCTGATAAATAGGACTATCCCATTTATCTCACCAGATTGATCAGCCTTCTCATTGCATGTTCATGAGAGCAAACACATTCACAAGGATCAAATCCACCTTCTGCCATGATTGCCCAGCTTGATTTAACTTGACTGTTGAAATCTAGGAGGAAGAAAAAAATATTGTAAGACTACTACTATTCATCATTACTAATTCTCTTGAGCTATGAAAAATTCATATTATCATACAGATTTATAGTAATTCTCTTAAATTAAGGACACTTCATATTTATTAATGACCTATATTTATGAATTGATTATATAATGTACATAAGACTAAGCTTGTGTCCTCCTTAAAATTCATATTGTTAAAAAGGAGACAGCGGGCCAAAAAAATAGTCGCTCATGCTAAAACCCACGTCAGCAAGCCAAGACTTAATACTCAATCTAGCTGCAGAGTTTTTTAAGATTTTATTTATTTGAGAAAGGAAGCAAGAGAGAGCACAAGTACGGGGCAGAGGGAGAAGCAGGTTCCCCACTGAGCAGGGAGCTGAGCTCAATCCCAGGACCCTAGGATCTCGACCTGAGCTGAAGGTAGATCTTAACCAACAGAGCTACCCAGGCACCCCCTAATTGCAGTTTCAACCCCAAGAACTGTAACCTTTAGCCAGTCAACATGGAATTACCTAGTCAGCACTAGTGAGATAATCCATCCAGAGACTCCTTCCATTCCCCTTAGGAAGGTGACGTTGCATAAAACAATGTATTTTTGCTAATAAGTTCCTTTTTACACTCTCCCTCTGCCTTTTTTTTTTTTTAAGATTTTATTTACATATTTGACAAAGAATGAGACCGAGAAAGCACACTCACAAGCGGGTGGTGCAGTGAGCAGAGGGAGAGAAGCAGGCTCTCTACTGAGCAGAGAGACCAATGTGGGGCTCGATCCCAGGACCCTGGGAATATGACCTGAGCCGAAGGCAGATGCCGAACCATCTAAGCCACCCAGGAGCCCCTCCATTTATGGCTTTAAAAATCGTTCCTTTTGGGCAGCCAGGGTGGCTCAGCGGTTTAGCGCTGCCTTCAGCCCAGGGCCTGATCCTGGAGACCCAGGATCGAGTCCCACTTCGGGCTCCCTGCATGGAGCCTGCTTCTCCCTCTGCCTGTGTGTCTACCCACCTCTCTCTCTCTCATTAATAAATAAATAAAATCTTTAAAAAAAAAATCCTTTTCTACAGCTTGGTAGAGCTCCTTTCTATTTACTAGATGGGATGCTGCCCAAGTCTGTTGAATAAAGCCAATATGATCTTTACATTTACTGTTTAATTTTTCTTATTTAACAAATTTGGTGAAAGCAACAGGATCAAAGGAGACTTCTGACAGCTTTGGGGACAACAAGAAACACAGGTGTGGGAGCCCATGAACTGCTGAAGTTAGTTCACTTTCTTTCCAGTCATTTCTGAGGGCCATTGGGAATTTCCTGTCAGTTCTGAGCTCTACTCTCTTTCTCTTGAACTCCTAAACTAACTGGCTTTTTAATCCAGGGCTTAGTGGGTCAGCTTCAGCTGACACACAGTTCCATCTGGAACCTGATTCTCTACCTCTTGATTTGGTCCACAATTCCCCAGTTGTTTGGAATTCCTTTCCCCAATTCCGGTCACAGTACCCACTTACTGGGATTTGGTGGTTTAGTCCTTTCCTCAATTCCAATCCACAGTCTCCACTTACTGAAGTCTGCTGGTTTAATCCATGCTGAGAACTGGTGATGGTATGCAAGGCCATCTCTTGGCCAGTCCACAATAACATCTTTTGGTTGCTGCTGGTATGTTAGGGTGCATGTGTTTGTTTGTCTTATTTTGTGTGCATAAAGGGTTATGGCTAACAGGAATCTTGGGGGGGGGGAGCCACAAAAATTGGTAGGCAATGGAAGCATTTAAGAGCTATTAGAGAGGCTCAGTGGTTGAACACCTGTCTTTGGCTCAGATCACGATCCCAGGGTCCTGGGATCAAGTCCCACATCAGGCTCCCCACAGGGAGCGTGCTTCTCCCTCTGCCTCTCTTTCTCTCTCTGTCTCTCATGAATAAATACATAAAATCTTATAAAAAAAAAAGCAAAAAAAATATAAAAAAAAAAAGCTGTTAGAGTACTCATCACCCAACCCAAAGACTCCTGTATTAAGTGGGTCTGTAGAACTAGTTAGGTTGACACTAGGTCACCTGGCAACCTCAAGAAAATTTCTGTGCAATGAGGTACACTGTAACACTGTGCAATTCCCAATCCAGAGGCACATCCCTTTTAGGTACTAGGCTCAGCTTTCTAAGAAAACCAAAGTTGGGTAATGGGATCCTTAAACTCTAGAGAGTAAAGCATGCTTCCTTCTGGTACTCCTGCTTATTTTATGCCTAAGAACTATGGTCCAGAAGATACATCGACAAAACCGGCAAAATCTTACTAAGCTTTTTTGGGTCCTGACATCCTGATTTGGTAACCATCAGATTGGCAGCCCCAAAATGTGGCCAGGCAAAAATGTGAGTTACACCCCATTTATGGCTAAATATGGCTGCACAGAAAAGGCAGGTTAAATTCTAATTGTGGCTAAGGTCCTACCAAATTGCCCTCCAAGAAATTACAACCTAGAATTATAATGGTCATTTCAAGAAATCTTCCAATTAGATAAGATCATTTAATAAATACATTTAAAAGCAAGCCTTCCAAATCAAACAGAATGGGATGCCTATTTGGTATGCAAGAGACACCAAAAGGCTTCAAAATTCCAAAATAGCCTCATTAAAAGACTTGTTGTAAAAGGCTAGTGAAAAACTAAGACAGAAATGGTACCTAAAAGCAAAAAGCTTTAATCTTTTTAAAAAGATTTTATTTATTTATTTATGATAGACACACACGGCGGGGGGGGGGGGGGGCGCAGAGACACAGGCAGAGGGAGAAGCAGGCTCCATGCAGGCAGCTCATGCAGGGAGTCCAACGCGGAACTTGATCCCGGTCTCTAGGATCATGCCCTGGGCCAAAAGCAGGCACTAAACCACTGAGCCACCCAGGGATCCCCTAATTCTTACTGCTTCCTTCTATCTTCCTTTATCTGAGGACTCATTCTAATACTACTGTCTGAGCCTCCTTTATGGACTGTAAACCAAGTTAATGACCTTATAGACACCACTTCCATATCTGACCCAAAGGAGGGCTCCTCCCAAATGGGACTCTAAGATTTTCTGGTAAACTGTTACACTATTCTCTTAAATAGCCAAGAGAAAACTAATATTAAAAATAAAAAAAATCTTGCCAAATTCCTGTAAGAAACAGAGCTACAGATGGGATCCCAGGAAAACTGGTAAAGTGGGCTAAGGGAAAAAATTCTTACCAGAGAGTCAGCTCTCCCAGATCTGTCTGTAAGACCCAGTAAAGACACAAAAATAAGTTATCTTTTGCATTCTCCCTGGGGATCCCTCTGACGTCCGGGGGGGGGGGGGTATCTGATATGGCAGAAATGCTTGCAGTTTGTCCCAGGTGAAAACTGACAAGATACCTAAAAGAATCTTTAAGTAGTTCTGTGACTGGAGATTGGTCAGACTGAGAGCTGATATTCAGAGCCTGGTAAGAGTATTTTTTTTTAGGACTCCTCCCATAAGCTAAAATGAAAGTAAGTCTCCAGAAGGAAAGAAAAAAAATCACCTGAAGCCTTTGTAAAAAAGAAGAATGTAATTAGATGGGTGGATCAACCTATGATTTCATTCAAATTGCAACCGAATTCTTTGAGGAATTTAGAGCAACTGTCTACATCTTACAAATCTTGGCAAAATTTGAAATGCAACTCCAGAGGCAATTCAAAGTTTACCTAATTCCTTTTATTACCAATTCCAAAACTTCCCCTATTATTTCAAAAGGCTTATAAATATTGACCATAGGAAACCAAAGTCCTGGGAGGAATTTGCATTCTTCCTCTGTGCCTTTGATATTAAATAGTAACTCTTATCTAGACCATCCCAATTCCTAAGACTGAAAATAAAAGGGGGTGGGGGGACACTTTTTAAAATTCAAATTGCAAACAAAACTCTCTAGCCCAAACTTTAAAGCAGAGAGCCTCCTTAAGATTTCCTGTCTCTACAAATATAAAACCTTTTTAAAAAATTTCTTTAGTAATCTCTACACCCAATATGGGGTTGGAACTCACAACCCTATGCTCCTCCTACTGAGCCAGCCAAGTGCCTCAACAAATACAAATCATAAAAAATCTTCTCTATGGGGCACGTGGGTGGCTTAGTTGGTAAAGCATGCATCTCTTGATCTCTGGTTGTGAGCTCAAGCCCCACGTTTGGCATAGAGCTCACTTTAAAAAAGAATTCTGTTGGGATCCCTGGGTGGTGCAGCGGTTTAGCGCCTGCCTTTGGCCCAGGGCGCGATTCTGGAGTCCAGGGATCGAATCCCACGTTGGGCTCCCGGTGCATGGAGCCTGCTTCTCCCTCTGCCTATGTCTCTGCCTCTCTCTCTATCTCTGTCTCTCTGTGTGTGACTATCCAAAAATAAATAAATAAATAAATAAAAATAAAAAAGAATTCTGTTTAATGGTCTTAAAAATAAGTGCTTGTTAAGTATCTGTAAATCTCAGAAATGAATCCAAACATGATCTAGGATAATTTTTCAGTATAAAAGCTAGCTTAAGTATATTGATTTAATTAAAAGACATATCTTTTGGGTTATCATATTAAATATAAAACTTTTATTCTACCTGGGTTTACTAATCAAATAAATTCATTTGATCTCTCACAAAATCTGTCAGCCAAAAAAAAGCTTGGGGGTGATGGCTGACTCTGTCTAATGGCTTGTGTGTATAATCTAAACATGATGGTTAAAAACAATTAAAAAGACGTTATGTAGAATAAAAAGGTGTAGGGTAAACTTTAGTTTCCTCCAAACCTTTCTGATAACCTGAAACCGTGAAGTTTTGTTAATTTAGATAATGATTTAAGTTAAATTCATTTAATATCCAGATCGTTTCCAAATAAGATAAAATATTAAAACACTAATTACTGAACATAGGCTTATCGATTTTTGGCTTCCTTTTACAGAAGAACTAAAGATACTTGGGAAAAGTACGTTTCTAGAAGTTACATAAAGTATTTAAAGTCTGCCAAGCCACAGATGCTAATGCA